TATCGATAGTGTTGTTGCTGAGGTTGTTTATGAAGGGCCACTGCTACTGATTCATTACAGAGGGGAATAGTGCTGCAATCCGGAGGGTTGTTAGAGGTCTTGACTTCCGGCAGTTTGACTCATCTGTCAAGCTGTTACTTGGTCATCATTGTGGGGCCCTCAGGTGCTGAAGGCAACAAGGCCCTCTCACGCGAGTCCAAGTGTACCACCCTTGGATCTTGAGAGTCTCATACCTCTGTTTCTGCCCTTCTAAGTCTAAGTCTAGTCTGTTGGTTCTGAGAGGAAGGCGACAAGCGGGATTGCAACCAGTAATCCGCGCCAAGGTCTTTGTGGGAGGTTGCCCTACCGATTGCGGGAGCTCTGCCGGGACTGATGAGGAGTTATGGAGGCAGGGAACTGACAGGTAACCGTTACTTTCCCCTCTATATACCCAGATTATAACCCTTATTTGTATTCCCCATCGCGTCGCTGACTGAAATATATGAGGTGCGACCCTACTCTATTTCTTCGTTTGACTTTCAGGACACTGAACAAGACTAAGTAAAGAAATGTCTGTTCAAGTTTCAGTTTTAGCTTTGTTGACTGTATAAAAGCAGATTGTTGAAAGGAACTGCATATGGGGAAAGGCAGGATGGAGGGTTGTTTTGCATGATGGTTGACTTGGTCACTAAGGCTGGGGAGTCCCCATAAGTTTGGGGAACCCAAGTGCTTTGTTTTATTTAAGTTTTGCATGGAGAAGTTAGACCCTTTTATAAGTTTAGGGGGTCTGATTACTCTGGAGGCTGGGATGTCCCCATAAGCTTGGGGAGACCTGGTGCCGTGGTCTGCATGGAGGGTTAGGCCGCTCTATAAGCTTAGGTGGCCTGACTGCTCTGACATGTGAGGGTTTGACTGCGCCTGATTTTCAGGGACTTGGGGCATTCAATAAGTTTTGGTGATTTGGGTTGCCTTGTTTTCACTGGGGTTTTCATCTGTTTCTTTGGTTTCTAAAACGAGGAGGTCTGAGTCGTTCTATAAGTTTAGGTGGCTCAACCTCTTCCTGCTCTTTATTCTGAAGAAGTGACCTTGACAAAGGGGCAGATCCTTCTGTAAGTTCAGGGGGTCTGACTCGATGCCACACACATGATGATTTAGAGAGAAATGAAATTGGCAGAGAGTTAGATCCTTCTATAAGTTCAGGGGGTCTGGCTCAAAGCCTCGCGCACATGCTGGAACCCAATGGTTATAGCTTGGCTATACTTTATTACTATTATATCTAAGAACAAGCTAATCAGACTGTTCTATAAGTTTAGGTGGTCTGACTATAGCCGTATCACAACTTGAAAAGAGTATAACTAAGAATAAAATTGGTGGTAAGCTGGGGCAGACTGAGCTTAAGTTAGTTCAGTCATATGCAGCCTTAGAAGACGAAGGTGAAGAGAAGTATATATAACTTGGATACTTTAGACAGTTCAGGGCGACTAGAGTGGTCTAGTCATATGCCCAAATAAGAGAAAAGTAGTTGTGCCCTCTGTTTATGTATACTTGGCCAAGTCAGAACGCTCTATAAGTTTAGATATTCTGACTCTAGGCCTGACTAAGTTGGGCGCGCTCTGTAAGTTCAGGCGGTCTGGCCTATGCCTTATGTAAGATGGGTATAAAGGGTTCAATCATTGAGAGATCATGAACTATTGTTTATTTAGGTTGACTTGAGACTGACAAGAGTACTTACCTCTGTGGTTTGGCCTGCATGTGACTAAGTGAGGTTACTACTTAGTCTGAGTTTTAGATTGATAGGTAGTTGCTTTAGTTGCTCGCCACGTGCTAGAGTCATAGGAGTTAGTGTCAATTCCTGCATTTTCTGTAGTAACTTTTTTTATACTTAGATCAATTCTTGCATTTTCTGGGATCTTTTCTTATACTTGGCTTGTATAAATCCTGACAAGCTATTTTTCCTATGGGAAGCGCTGCCGAAGTTTTTACAAATCCAAGTAGTTAGTTAAATTTTGACTTGTCAAAAGTTCGACTTTGTCTTTTCTTATATCTGACTTAGTAAAAATCTGGAAAGTCTCCTTCTCTAAAGGGGATGCTGCCCAAATTTTCGCTAATTCGGGGAGTTAGACAAAATTGAACTTTGAGAAGTCAAAATTACTTTCAATTTCTGGACTTAGCCTTGTATAAATTTTGGAATAACATTTTTCTAAAGGGAGTGTTGCCGAAATTTCTGCAAAACTAAGGAGTTGGTTGAATCTTATGTAAGTTGAACTCAAGTCGTCTAATGAGTTCATATCTGACTTGGTGTAAATTTGGGAAGTCTCTCTTATAAAGGGAGTGTTGCCCAAATTCTTACTGATTTAGAGATTTAGACAAATTTGATTTTTCAGAATTAAAAGTTTATCTCTGCTTTCATATTTAGACTTATATAAATTCTGGAAAGACACTTTTCCTACGGGAAGTGCTGCCAAAATTTTCTTAGTTTAAAGGAGATCGATTTTATTTTTGACAGGTGGCGATTCTGATAGTCCACTCTGATTAGGGGAGATTTTACCATACTGCTTAGAGGTAGGCTTAGATACAGTTAACTAAGGATGACTTGGATAAAATCACGATATGGAGACTGTTCTTCATGAACTTATAGGATTCAGCCTGGGGCATTGACCTGTCATGTGTTACAGACCCTCCTGATCGTTTGATTCAAGATCCGGACTAGATTCAGCTTGATCCCTTGAGGATCATCATCTGTTATCACTGATAACAGGTCGGTTGTCGATTCGTCGGTCTACGACTCAATTCCAACTCACCCTTCACACTTAACCTAAAAGGCTTTAGCCCTGGTGATTTAATTGTTTCATTAAGGTTTCACCCGGACTTTTATTGAATGACCATTTAACAGAGGTACGGAGTATTTAATTAAGGTTGGTTGGACAGGAGGTTTAGGGCTTGCATGATTAAAGCGAGGGGTATCAGCGTCGAAGATGGTTGGGGTTGACTCCGCGTAGTGTGTGGGCTGTTGATTTGACTCCTTGATGTGATTTGCAGGTATGTGCTGCGAATCAGATTCTGGATTTGGTTGTCTGCGATCACATATATATGTATGGTTGTGAGGGACCCCAATGAGACTGTGAGAAGTGATCGTCACATATTTTCCCCTTTATATATGTATATATGGGTATACCTGGAATGAATATTTGCATGGGTTAAGCGGCCCCGTACAAAGAGCATACTCAGAGGTTAAGACTGAGAGGCCCAGGGAAGACTCTTCCTTTTATTTTGCTTTGTTTCCTGAGGATTTTCTTAGTCGGACGTTGGTCCTGGGCCGGGATTCAAGGTCCTTGTCCAGGACATCCCAAGCCCTAGGCCCTGCAGGGGAGGGATTTCCCCTCGCACGGAGCCTATTTGCATTACCCGTCGAGGCACCCCACCCTGAAGACGAAAATGTCGCGAGGGCAGAACGACATGTCCTTCAACCGTTCAATATCGTGTGCGGTAACCCTCACGATATATTCCTTCAGCCATTCAATATCGCGAGGCCGGAGCCGTGATTACCACGTTTGGTTGGCATCGTTGGTCGGTATGAGACTGACCACAACTGTGCGGTTTTATATTAGAATCCCGCGCGTGACGTTTCGCCGCCCTAGAGCTTAAAAGTTATGGGATCAAAAGAGACCCGCACATACGCGCGAACGCTTGGGATTACTGCAGGGCGCTGACACTACCCGAAAAGGGAAGAGTATCCCAAGGCTTTGTTTTCTTTTGGGATAAAGGGGACCTTCGGTCTATTTGTGTTTTTTAAGGTTTATAGTTGGACGTTGTAGTCCGTGGCAACCGTCAAAGTCAAACCCCTTGAGTTTTGTCCAGGCCTGGAGTAGGACTCATCTCCAGGGCCGAAAGAAACGACTGCCACCACAGGTATGGACCTGTGTACCACCCGCTCCTCACAAAGTGCAGAAGAGGGTGTGTGGCCTTCAACCGCGCTTGGCGGTTGTCCAGCGTCGAGAGATTAACCCTCTAGGCGCGTGTCAGTCGACACTTGAGTGTCGAATGCTACCCTCGTGATTAACGAGGGCCGCATGAGTATGGGTACTACATGGTACGCCATCATCGCGACTGCTTGCGTACGTTTGCATTGCTAGTCGATATGAGTAGGCCCTGCGTCCGCGCGGTTTTGTACTAAGTCTCGCGTGCGACGCCCATCCGATTTCCGCATCGGAAAGTTATGGGACGACTACCGAGGGGCTAGGAGCGTTGTCGCGTTGTTTGTATTGTGTCGTTTCGTATGTGTATGTGTGTGTTTTATTATTGTTGTGTTTGTTGGCGCGGTGTGCGCGTGGTGTGTGGGATGCGTCCTAATCGACTGACGACGAGTCGAGCTTGGGACCTGAGCCCCCCAAGATGTCGGTTCGTGTGCGGGTCCGATAGAGGCGTATTACCGCGCGTACCCCCTATGCTACAGCGAACGAGAAAACGCCCTCGGCTGGTCCACCTCTACGATTGCAACCGATTAGCTTTCGTACTGTGGACTTGTAGCTCGGCGGGGATACGCCCACCGAAGGGAGGTGACAGTTCCCGTAAGGTGGAGGTAAGTCGTGCCTCGCATAGGCCCTATCCTGTCGTAGGGGTTCGCGAGAGGTATGGCTGGCGCACTCGGCCGGAGCGGTTTGCGGAAGCTCCATGTATATTTGTGACGAGGGAATTAGACCAACTCTTGCGTGACGCGGCCGGTAGGGTCCCGCGCTGCCCTGGTGCGGTGCAGGACCGATGCGCTCGACAGGTGGCGCCATTGCTGGGGATAACGGAAGCTTACCGTTGTTCCTGGTGGAACGATATCCGGGTATGAGGTTGAATGAGAATAAGCATGAAGGAATGCCGAGAGGGTAAGGAAAATAATGAGGGACTAAGTACTGGTAAGGGAGGCTTAGTGACTTTGTATGTTTGCCCTGTTTACCTACCTGAGCTAGGAGAGCTACGAGGGACGACCGTATTCGTGTCAGATAAGTATATGAGGAAGTTAGGAAGGGCATATAGGATATACCTCCTTGAGATAGGATGCTGAATAGGTGAGTGTCCTTGTTTTTCTTCTAACAGGGAGCCTGAAGGGAAAAATCTGTAAAAATGCCGAAAAGCGGTGGTATATCGGATGACACTGGGAAGATCCTGGCGCTCGAGGATCTTATTGCGGTCATTGACCGACATGAGAAGACTCCAAGCAATGTCCCTAAGGTCGACACTTTTCACTTCAATGGAGAGAGAGTCTCAGACTGGCTGGATCGGGTGAAACAAGCAATGGTGGGACTTTCGGATGCAGTGAAATTCCAGCGGATCATGAGATATGTGCTTTATGGGCACCATCAGGAGGTGCAGAGGGTGGTCAGTGACGCCAATGGCGATTGGGCCAGGTTTAGCGAGGGAATGCAAAGGAAGTACAGGCTGGGCGATGACCTGTTAACCACGGGAGACCTGGAAGCAATGAACAATGGTAACTTCACTACGATAGGGGCCTTCGTACATGAATTTAAGAAAAGGGCAAGGAAGGTCCACGGGATCTCTGAGGAGACACAGTGTGCCATCTTTCTGGGACTACTTACTGCATCGGGGGCCCAGGAGTTGACAAGTCATGGAGGAGGGAGTACTAAGCTCACCTGGGCCACCATTCACAAGGGGGTGGAAGATAGGAGCCTAGACCAGGTGGAGCAACACCAGGTACGGCTGCAAAGACAGAAGAGAAAGGAGAGGGATGCTACGGCATCTGGGACTCTAGGGGTAAGAAAAATTATCACTGACATACTAACAGAGTTAGACCCGGTGATACAGAGAAAGGTGGCAGCGACAATTCAGGGAAAGGCCAAAGAGCCCGTAATAGAGGAAGCTGCCCAGGAAGGGTGGGAAAAAGAGGAGACGGTGCCTCCGCACCTCTCGAAAATGCAGCGTAAGCAGCGCAATTTGACGCAAGGGGGGCAAGGTTCGGGAAGGGGCCAGATGCCCCAAGCGGTGGTAGCTGCCTCCCCGAGTGCGTCGGCACCTTCGAGTAGTGCAGGTCCTTCGCAGACGCCAGTACCACCTTTCGGATAGTGGCCATGGCCCGTGATCAACACCTATGTACCTTGGGGAGGGTCGGCACCCTCTGGACAGGTAGTACCCTACGCTGGGCCGCAGACGAGTATGCCCCCCCCTATCTATCCTGCAGCCCAGGCCCAACCTATGGCCCCGCCTCCATCACCCGCTCCTAGTTCACAAGGGAGCGTGGCTGAAGGTGGGAACCAGGGTCAAGGCAATCAAGGCAATGGAGGAAGGGGTGGCGGAAGGGGGCGAGGCAAGAATGGCGGCGGTCGAGGAGGACAATGGAATAGCCAAGGCCAGGGGAGCCAAGGCCAGGGGAACCAAGGTCAGGGGGATCAAGGGGGTCAGGGGTATGGAAGAGCCCGCTTTGACTGGAGGTCGGCCATCTGCCAACATTGCGACCAGCAAGGCCACACTATAAGATTCTGTAACATAAGGTGGGAGGATGAGAAGAACGGGCTGATTTCCTCCACCATGGATGAAAACATTTGTGACCAGTTTGGAGATTTTATTGACAGGAAGCTTGGTGGATTGAGAGCGGAGGCCCAACGAAGAGCGGCAACTGGACAACCACCCCCTGCCACGTTCAGGTTATGGCAGGAGAAGGAAGGACAACCAATTGGGGTAGAGGAAATGGGGAGTGATGAGGAAGTAACTCAGGAGCTACGAGGAGGAGATAAGAGGGAAGAGCCCATAATCATCGAGTCGGAAGATGAAAATGAGGAAGAAAAGATGGAACCTCCGTCCGCCTTGCTGGGAAAAATGGAGGACCTGCTGGACAAGATGGGGAGGTACCAACGGAAGTTGGTGGACCTCTGTGAGGGGGTAAGGGAATGGAGGTCTAACGTCCCCAAGGTGTTCCTGTATGATTCCGGCCCGGAGTCAGCGCTCGGGCGGCCCGGAGTAAATGTAGTAGGGTCGGGCCCACGAACGGGGATGATGATGGGACCTCTTACCCAGCAGGCTCGGCTGGCGCAGGCAGCGCGAACGCGAAGTCAGGCCGAGGCTAGTGCAAGTTAGGAACCTCCTCGAAAAGAGCCTGAGCCAGGAAAAAGGAAAAAGACTGTGGAAGTGGAGGATGACGATGATGAGGAGGAAGAAGATGAGAGGTTGCGCCAGGAAGAAGACCAGAGGGCGGAGCTGAGGGCTAAGAAGAGGGAAGCCAGGGAAGAGACCGAGCCGGTTCTGCGCGACATGCCGCCCAGGAAAAAGAAATACGCGGTTCGGTTGGAAGAAGGGTTCGACGTGGAGAAGGTGATCGATAGGTTGTTAGAAGGACATAACGACCTCATGACCTTAAAGGAAATCCTAGCGTCAGCCCCTAAGCTCCGCGATGGATTGAAGGGGAGGTTGTCGCGGCGTCTGGTGCCCAACGTCCACCGGGGTACGATCCTGCCCAAGGAGGCGGAGTGGGCAGAGTCGGGCACGAAGATGGACTGGAAGTGTATGGCCTGCGGCACAGTGGATTTGGTAGTGAAGGGCTCCAAGTGTACAGCGATGGTGGACATAGGGGCGAAAATGAATATCATTCAGGAGGCGGATGCCATCAAGTTCGGACTGGATATAGACCGATCTGACTACGACATTCTACATGGGGCAAGTTGCAGGGCCGTGTTTTGTGGGACAACCTCGAATGTGTTCATCGAGGTTGGGAAAGTAAAAGTCAGGGCATGCTTCTTCGTCATGCCAGACGTGGATCACGGAATCCTCCTGGGGAGGTCATTTTTGAGCAGGACGGAAACAGTGATATTCAATAAGCATAACGGGACTTTGATCCTCCTCCTATGCGACCCTGCCTGCGGGAATTATGAGGTGATCACCTGCAGGAATACGGGGCCAAAAAGCATAAGGAATCGGCCCAATCCAGGGTCTTTCACGATCGAAGAGTCGGAGGGTGAGCGCCGGAGGCTCCGGACAGAGCCAGAAGAGGAAGCGAGGGTTGAAGCATTCTCCCTCAGCCTGTCGGACGTGGGAAAGGCCATGGATTTTGTGGCCGCACATGAGATGGCAGATCTGGATGCCATTCAGGCATTGAGAGAGCAGGTCCTGAAATGCCCCGAGCCAGGGAGATTGGAGCTGATATATCGTCTTCCGGATGGCAGGAGGAACCCGGCGTTGATGCAGACGCAGTCTGTGAGTCGGCCTTTTTTAGGGGGCGGCTCAAGCAGGGTTCCCAAAGGCGGTACAAGATGGTAGACCAGAAGTGCCGCCCAGTCCCCGTCCTCGTTACTGAGGACGAGGGGGTGTACTATGAACGAGAGTGCGGGTTGATACGGCGGATGAAGGAGAAGGTCACAGTAGGGCCATGCCGTATCAACGAAGGGAACGAGGAAAAACTGATTATAGGGGAGCCCGACTTCCTATTGCCTTAGGAACGAGCCTTGATGGTAGAGCTAATGAAGAAGCGTCATCGTGCCTATGCGTTTAGCGACGAGGAGCGTGGCAGATTGGATGTGGACAAGATACCTATGATCCGTATCCATATCGTGCCGCACGAGCCTTAAAACCTAAGGGGGGCGCGATATCCTAATCCTGACGAGGAGAAGAAGGTGGTGGATTACCTCGATGGCAAGATAAGCACGCATGTCGCCGACTATTCTAGTGGACCGTATGCGTCCCCGTGGTTTTGTTTTATCAAGCCTAACGGGACACTGCGGTGGGTGCAGGACCTACAAAGGCTAAATGTGGTGACTGTGCGGGATGCTGGAAGATTGCCCAATGCGGACGCACTGTCAGAGTCCTATGCTGGAAGGCCTATAATTTCGCTTATAGACCTTTATTCAGGATATGACCAGTTTCCGGTCTATCCACCAGACAGGCCGGTGACGGCTATGCATACGCCTCGAGGACTGATCCACATGAATGTGGCTCCGCAAGGGTGGACCAACGCGGTAACGATGGTCCAACAGGCCATGATTCGGGTTATGCAGTAAGTCAGCCCACATATCACTCAACCATATATTGATGATTTGACAGTGAAAGTGCCGGCAGTGAAGGAGAGTGACGAAGTTTTGCCGGGGGTAAGACGTTTTGTCTGGAAGCATATACAAGACCTCGAGAAAGTCCTGAGACTGCTCGAGGAGCATAACCTCACGACAAGCGGGGCCAAATCCAGACACTGCATGAGGGAAGCTACTATCTTGGGGTTCGTCTGCAGTGAGCAGGGCCGACGACCGGATGTAAAGAAAACGGACAAGATTACTGAGTGACCAGTTCCATTCCACTCAATAACTGATGTCCGGAGCTTCCTTGGGACGTGCGGATTTTGGAGGGCCTTCGTCAAGAACTTTGCCGCTAAGACTGAGCACCTGAGAAAATTAGTTCGTCAGGATCAGGAATGGGTTTGGGGCGAAGAGTAGGAAGAGGTGGTGGCCAGAATGAAGGAAGAGTTCCGAGAAGGGGGTTTGGTGTTGGGGGCGCCGGATTATGACGCCACGGAAACGAGACCCTTCATTGTCGAGACGGATGCGGGACCAACTGCCTTAGGAGGGGTTTTAATCTAGGCAGACACAGAGGGAAAGGAAAGGCCTTTGAGATTTGAGAGTCAGACTCTCTGTACGACGGAAATGAATTATTCTCAGTCCAAGAGGGAGACCCTTGCCGTCCTCCATTATCTGCGAATCTTTCGAAACTACATCTTCGGCAGGAGATTTATATTGAGAGTGGATCCAACTGCCCTGGCCTACTCTCTAAGGAATTACGTTCCATCAGATCCAACGGTGCCAGGTGGTGACGTACATCTGGATGTTTAACTTCGAGTTGGAACGGATTCCTGGAAGCAAGAACCGGGCGGACGGGCTGAGTCGTATCAACTGGGATGGTAAAAAAGGAGAGGCAGTGGAGAATACGCCCCCAGTTGATGGATTTTTGGATCAAGAGGAAGATGTTCGTCTTCACATTAACAAGTGGTCGCCGCGAGTGCCCAGTTGTGTGGGCCATCCTATCTGGCAAACGCCATGCGAGTATGAACGGAAGGCAAAGCTAGTCCTTAAGCCTTTTGAGGAGGAGGATCCCTGGGGTGGTAAAGATGTTCAGTGGATGATGGAGTTGGCGTTGGCTCGATCGCATAACTTAGTAGAAGATATGAGGGCAATAGAGGAAGGGTCAGACCAGGTAGAAAGGCATGAGGAATTGATGGGGGGGATGTATCTCCTCGTCAACATGCTACTGCAGGAAAGCCTCGATCAAGCAGGCTCGTTGAATCCGGCGGGGAATGAGGACGAGGTGCCCGAGAGCCATGACGACGAGTTTGAAGAAGGTGAGATCAAAGAGGCCTTTCGTGCAGAGGAGTATGAAGGAATCTACCTGGAGTTGGGACTCCTTCTGTCATGCGAAGTACGGCTTAGGGATGCGAGCGATAAGGCTCAGAGGATGATGCAGCGCTACTTAGTGCGAGATGGCCATCTTTTCGTGAGGAGAGAAGTGAGGAATCCCAGGAGAGTTGTCTGCGGTAGAAATCGTCAGATTGACGTCATGGCAGCACTTCATGATGGCATTGCAGGAGGACATCGAGGGGTACAAGCCACATATGCCAAAATAAGTGAGCTGTACTACTGGGATGGAATGATGGACATGATTGGGAAGTTCTGCCGATCTTGTGTGCCCTGCTAGGAGAGATCCCGTTTGAGGCAAGGAGAGCCGCTACATCCAAGGTTAGAGCGAGAGGTGGGGGCTGTAGTGCATCTCGATCTACTTTTCATGCCGCTTGGGGATCAGGGCTATAACTATATCTTCGATGGGCGCGATAACCTGTCTGGCTTCGTAGACGGACGGACCATTCGTACAAAGACTGGGCCAGTCTTGGTTAGCTGCATCGAGGAGTACTACCTGCGTTATCTTTTCGTCAGGGAGTTCGTAATGGACAGGGGATCGGAGTTTACTTGCCAGGAGGTGCAAGAACTGCTATCAAGGTATGGTGTAGTAGCCAACTACACCACGGCCGCGCACCCCCAGGCAAACGCGCCAGTAGAAAGAGGGCATAGTACCATTACGGACCTCCTGGCTAAGTGGACCGAAGGTAGGCCTAATCAATGGCCAAGGTACCTAAGGGCGACATTCTTTGTCGATAACATTACAATGAAAAGATCCACCAAGTAGGGACCGGCGACGTTGTGGTATGGAAGGCATGCCACCTTCCCAATTGAGAGCTTTCTTAAGACCTGGAGGCGCCAGGATCTGGAAGTCCATTTGTCTTTTGAAGAGTTACTCGATATTCGGGCGCGTCAGGTGGGGGCGATAGAGGAAAGAATCCAGGAGGCGTCCAATCAAGTGGAGAGGAGCCGCATGGATGATAAGGCTCGCTGGGATCAGTCAGCGCGCGTGAGGAAAGTACCTTTGTCAATCGGGGACGTCGTACTCCTATACGATTCATCATTGGAGAAGCAATGGTCCAGGAAGCTCGACAAGAGGTGGTTAGGTCCCTACTGGATCCTGCGGTGTGGAGATTTTGGAGTGTACCAGATTGAAGAATTGAATGGGACTGAATGGAAGGACTGGGTATCTGGAACGCGGTTGAAGAAATTTGTGGCGAGAGGAGAGGTGAGAGAGATGATCTGACTTCCCTTATAGTAGAAGCGATAGGATGTGTAGGTCAGATAGGTTGCATGCTGCATGAGTATGGTCTGGTTTGAGCTTGCTTTGATTATCACCTGTTTGCTTACCCCAATGTGTGTCTGTTGTCTCCTTCGCCTGTTGTGCAGGATTGACTTTATGAAGACAGCCATGCCAAGAGGAGGGAAGGGGACACGGCCGCCACGAAGGCCGTTGGGGGCATCAGGAAGATATGAGCGGCATGGGCCTCGCCATCGAGAGAGTACTCCAGTATACGATGATGGGGACATCGAGTTATTCCTGGACAGTTTCTGGGACCATGCCAGGCGTACGGGCTGGACCGTGGCCCAGGCGATTGAGAGATTGAGGGGAGCCGGCATTGCCCGGATCCGTAGGGAGGCAACGACGAGGCAGGAGGTGGAGATGAGGATGCAAGAGCTACGACCCTCGTCTGTGGGACCTGATGGAAGACCGATTCGCCTAGAGATAGGAAATGCGGCGGACTTTATCCCCGCCTTCGAGTAGTTCATGCAGGGGCAGGGTACACCGAGAGATGACTGGGCGAGGATGCTACCCCTTTGGACCAGAAAGGCGGAGAGGCCACTGGCTAGGCAGATCAGAGATATGACCCGGGATTGGGATAGTTGCAGGGCACACTTGAGAGAGGCCTTTCGACGGCCAGAGTCGCCTCAGCCCCGAGTTGAGAGGCGCCAGAGGAGCAGGAGGCAGAGGGACCCTGAACCCTGTGAGGCGAGGCCATCCCGAGGGGGACGGAAAACCCTAGCCAGGAAAGAAGAGGAGCCGGAGCCGGAGGATGAGGAGCGAGGGGCGTATCCTGAGTGTGGACTGGGACCAGTGGAGTTCCGTCGTTTTACCGAGGGTGGATTAAGGAGGTCGCCAGTGCGCACCCAAGAGGAGGCGCCGGCATCTGAGGGGCCATTGAGAGAGTTGGAGGTGCATCTGGACGTCTCTCGATGGGGAGCGTCGCCTCGAGGTGAGGAGCGTGAAGGATAGGCTGAGGAGGTGCCACGAGAGGAGGTGCCACGTGAGGAGGTGCCACGAGAGGAGGTGCCACGTGAGGAGGTGCCACGAGAGGAGGTCCTGGATACTCAGCGAAAGAGAGGGCTGGGTGATGAGGGGAGACGTGCAGGGAAGGAAGTAATAGAGGTTGGAAAGGACACGCCCCCTCGGACGCCAGCGGTAGGTTTGAGACTCGGGGATACACTAGGGAGCACTCGCCAGGAAGAAGGGGGGTTGCAGAGGGAGGAGGCCCCTTTGCCTTCATCAGAAAAGGCTCCTTCGCCAGAGAGAAGAGCAGAAAGGAGGAGAGAGACCGCAGCTGTAAGGAGAGAAGCCTTGGCCCTGATTGACAGACACCTAGCAGCTCATGCCCTGGAGCACCCAGACCTGGAGGAGCCAGCACCTGCAGAGCCGCGCCAGGAGCCGTGCCAGCCCGAGAAGGAGGTGGAGGCAGAGATCCCGAAGAGGGTCGACCTCCGCACGAGGGAGAGGGCGCCGACTGGAGAAACGGCTGAAGAAAAGAGAGCGCGAAGAAGCAGGAGGATAGAAGAGATATGGCAAGAGAGACAGAGGTTGGAGGCAGCGGGGGCACTTTCGGAGCAGCAGCAGGAAAAGCAGAAATTGGAGGCAGAAGGGACACTTCCGGATCAGCCACCCAACGCGCCACCTAAGGCCCCTGAAATCCCAGAGATGTGGAGAGACTTCTGGGAGCAAAGGGGAGAGGAGCTTCCATCGCCAACAAGAGTCGGATTCGGGGTAGCAAGGAAGGCAGAGGAGAGGCTGGATCGCAAGATCAGATTCTTAACCAAGACAACGTTTGACCGGTACTTGTTGCTGGAGAGCGATCTGGCAGGAAAGAAGATGAAGGTCGAGAGCCATGGGCTACGTTTGGAGACGATGGAGGTAGAGATCCAGGAGCTCGGGACTCTAGTGGCTAGTCAGGCTGCCATTATTGAGGGCTTGAGGCAGCAGCTTCGAGGGGGAGCGGACAAGGCCGAGAGCAACCGACAGGGGGAGCAGAGGCAGCCAGGACAGGGCTCGCCAGGACAACCATCTGCAGCGGAGCCCTGCCAGGAGCCACCTATGGGGAAAGTTATCCTGGAACCAGAGGAGGCGAGAGCCCAGAGGGAGGAAGAGAGAGAGGCCTTCGAGTTCAGAGCCCCTACGTAACTCGCGACACTACCTATAGTAGCGGCAAACCCAGTCATGCCATTGGCAGTTGAGGAGGGACTACCACCATCTAGCAGTGAGCCAGCTCAAGGCTCAGCAGAGGGGTCCATGGACGTGCTCCTGGAGGCAGTGCATACTATGCAGGAGGAGGCGAGTTTGTTTTCACCTGAGCAGAGAATAGAGGAGCCTCTTGGGAGAGAGATGGGGATTGAGACAGAGGGTGCCATCGAGGCCAGGCCCCAGAGATTGGACACGCCTGAGTATCGGCCAGAGGGGATTGAGGATCGACCAAGGCCGAGTACCAAGGAGATGGAGACAGGAGGGGAGCCTTTGGATATGCCTCAGAGTCATGAGTTGAGCAGGGAGGCCAGTGAAGCGCCATCATCGCCAGGATCTTAAAGAGGGAAGAAGAAATCTAGGAAGTGGTTTGATACGTCCTGCTTCTTCTGCACGAAGGAGGGTCATCGAGCCTTGCAGTGTCCTAAATTTTTAAAGGACAAGGCTGAAGGAAAAGTTACAGAGGAGGATGGCAGGATGTATGATAGACAGGGCAGGTGAGTGGAAAGGTCAGCAGATGGGGGTAGGGCTCAACTGTATAAGCAAAATGAGGAGGAGATGAGTGAGTGGGACTGGTTTGCCTATATGATTGGTTGTTGTACATAGGACCTGAGCTTAGGATTAGATGACATCATTTAGGCTTAGATGTTCACCTGCATCTGATAGATGGTTTGGATTTGGACTTCTACTGAGGTTGTCATCTTGAGGGTCAGGACGTGATGAATGGGGCGTGTACATATCTGGGTGGCCTACACCCTGACCTTTGAGAGACAAACCCAGCATGTAGTCTGAGGGTAGTACTAGTGTGAGTTGGATTTGTTTGAGACGAGTGAGCTATGGTTTTGACATATTTGTGTGAAGGGCATTTTTATCCCTGAGTGTATATTAAATCAAGATTTTTCATCGAAAAACTATTTTTTGTGTATGACGATCACTCTCACACTCACATGTGTGCTTCTTACTCCGATGGATGATGGTTTTGTGTGAGAGGTGTTTAGGGTGCATCTCATGTTAATGAATGTGAGTTATGTAAAATTGTCTACTCTTCGGTATACTAGTGCGGCCTGCTCACGGGCAGGTAATAGGGCAGAGTATAAGGAGAGGGAGTGCAGTCTGTTTGTGAATAATCGTAAGGATCCTAAGGGATTTATGGATCTTTGAGACCCGAATGTTTAATCATGCTGGAGGTTGATTGCTTAAGCTGTGACGAGGACCCATAAGATGGTCTCTCAATGATGGTTGTTCCATAATGAGACCCCCTTGGTTTTTGGAAAAGGGGGGGATGTCTGGCTTTATGATGAGACCCCTCGTGATTTGTTGGAGAGGGGGTGTTTTGTTTTGTGATGGAATCCCCTTGGATTTTGGAAAAAGGGGTGGTTTTGGGCTGTTGGAAGACTCACCCCTAAAGGTGGGTGGACTGATTAATGACATGGTGAGTAGTCTGATGAGTGATAAAGTCTGACGAAAAGGGCCACGTTTATTTGAAGTGTTTGAGGGGGTTGTAATGGATACAGGGCGAGAGATGTCTCAGAATGAGTGACTGCTGGCTCTGATCAAGTCAGGGGTCACGGCCTTGTGGACCTAGTGATGGTTATGTTTATGATTTGTGCGAAGGATGCCATGCCTTTTGAGGGAGAGCTGGTAAATGCCTTCAGGCCCCTGCGTAACCTCGCAGTAGGCCCGTGATCTTTCTTTTGAGACGTCTTGTTTAACCACTTGTGTTAGTTCTAAGACTTATTGAAGGAAGGCCAAGCTAGCGAAAAAAGAAGTTTAGCGCCACTAGGGTGCAACCCAGTGGATGGCTGCTAGCCGGTGCAACCTGGCTGTGGGAGTGCGAAGTAAGAGTTTACGGGGAGTTGCCCGCCCCAGGGAAATTGCTTCGCGGGGTAAGAGTCAAGTCTTTTTTGAAACCCTGATTTGGATGGTTATCAGGGGAAAGTTCATCGTTGCGCAACCAGCGAGGGTGTTGCTGCTAGATAATAACGCGGTGGGCCGTAGTCCGGGTCTGATCAGCCAGGCTATGGTGGGCCAAGATGGAGACCTAAGCTTTCTGTACTAGACTGCAGAAAGAACCGAGTGGAGATTATGTATATATACACATGTGTGTTTGATTGTGAGGAACTTTTCGGGAAGGAAGATGAGCGTGCCTTTAAAGGTCTCGGTTAGGGCCCTCGTCCCTAGTTTTAGCCAGGACTAGGGACACCCAACGAGAAGCCGAAGATTGTCTAGGGCCGGGGTGAGAGGATGATTGGGAAGGCCTTTGAAACTTATGCTGTCAGTATCCTATTGACCGCGGCAACGGGGACCCGGATTGGAACCCTGGCAGCATATAGTTGCAGAGGCATGATTTGATGGAAGCCTCCGCCTTGGGTCTGTCGGCTAATCGGATTGGTCCCATTTTTCGTCAACATTTTGGGTGATCTGATAGTCTTTCGATTTTGCGAAGCGACGAGGGGGTCGCTTAATATGGTCCGGTAAGCGATGGGAACGTCGCTTATTATGGTCCGGTAAGCTATCGGTGCGGATACCCTTACACGGGTACTCGCACTGGGTTTTTGCAGTTGACAGAGAAATGGGTCGATTCATAATTAATGGGAAGGGCCCGCGAGTCGCAAGGGTCAGCGGGTTAAAGGTTCGACGGTAACACCTAGAAAGTAGAGAGTGTGGGGACGCGCAGTATTGAGGCGCGCGTGATTTTTCTCCATTTTGATCGCAATAGAAGGCACGGCGTGGTTGTTCGCCGACGAGCTCTATCATAACATGTCATTTTTGTTTTGATTAAACTAATTAAACCATGAGCGTTTTTTCTTTGGTTTTGCGTGGTACGCTGGACGGTTTAGTAAGCCGGTGTGGACTTACGTGGAAATCGAGATGATGGGACCTGATAGATTTGGCTAAGGACGGGTAAACGCGGCGAGGGCGGTAGGCCGACGTGCGTGAGTTTGGGTGGTCCTCTGTGCAAGTGCGGGCCGGGAAGTGGCATAGGGGGTTTCCTTGGCCCCAAGGGTCGTGCGCTACCTCTTTATAGGGTGAGTCACGCCTGCTGGTATCAGGCTTGGGCTTAGCCCTATAGGTTACAGCATCGGACTGGTACGCAGCAGACGCAGGGATCGAGGCCAACAATATGCGGCAAGGGAGCGGAGGAGCGTGGCGAAAAGGCTTGAGGGGTTGATGGGCCTGTGGGACTATCCCCCTCGTCTTTTGCTGCCACGGGGCCAAGTGTGGGGCCGACGGGCAGGCTAGGAGGGGTGCCGTGGTCCCTGTCCGGCTAGCGCCCGCTTATATATATATATATTATTTCTAATTTTATTTAGTTATTATTAGTATCGCGCCCGTATGTGGACGAGGAAACACGGCAGGTGCACACCATTCGACTGTTGAAATGAAGGTCTTAGTTCGGAGCCATGTAACGAAACCTGACGAGTAGAACCGAATAATTTGAATTGCCTGAGGCCGGTCGCCTCCGCGGCCCCGGCTGTGTCCTTCGGGACATCCGTTAAAATTGAAACGATACATAGAAGATTAGCATGGCCCCTGCGCAAGGACGATTCGCAGAAGTTTGGGGAGTGGATCTAGCGTCGATCTGTGCCAGATACCGGTGGGGCCAGGCAAGTAAGAGTCAACAGGGCCTTTCGGATCAGTTGAGGCTGATCTGGCCCCGAAGAGCCGCAGGGTGCCGCTGCAAAGGAGTTTTGGGGCCGCCTCTTCGTCAGACCGGCATGCGCGAAAGCGGGTAGAGTCGGTGTGGGGCGACGGGCGAATAGAAAAGGGCCGGGTGG